TGGTGTTAGGCTTCCAAGGTTCTTCAAATCAAAAAAGGAAAAAGAGTGAGAAAACTTACCTCCTTGAAGGAATGGTCACGGTTTTGAAGAATCAAGCAAGAGAATGCAAGGGTGAAAGCTTGGAGCTCCTTGGCTTGTCTTGAGAGGTTGAGAAGATGAGAAATTTTGAAGGGATTTAGGGAGAGAGGGTCTCGATTTCTTTGAAGAAAATGGAGAGAATAGGACTTGAAATAATTTTGAGAGAAAGAGTGGGAGACTCACGGTTTTTAGAGTGAAAAAAGAGAGGAAATAAGGTAGCTTGACCTATTTATATGAAGTGTTCAATTTTCCTTTCCCAAATGTAACTTAATGCTCACGGTTTGGGCTTGTGGGACAAGATTCAAATGCCAAAACTGCACAAAATTGATTTGAAGCAATTTGGAAGTGAATTTTGGTGAAAAACTTGAATAATAAGGGTGCCACAGTTTTTGTGCATGAATAGTGAATTCTTTTTGCAAACTTGCAAGTTAAGTAAATACAATTTGGCAAGCAAAATGCATGGAGGAATGTGGAGGCTACATGCACACGGTTTTGGAGTAGAACATTCCAAGAATTGCACAAAATTCCAAAGGCTAGATTCAAGGCAGCAAATGCATGCAATGCGATTGGCCGACGAGGAATTTTGATGTGACGAGATTGACTTTCGAAGGGACATTTGACATGGTGCAAATTTCAAGGAAAGCATTTAATTAAAGTAATCACGATGCTGGCCTTTTAGAAGACAAGACAAGAAAGTTTCGGAATAATTATGTTTACAAATCGGGAGGCAAGAATCTTTTGCATGAAATTCTAGTGGCCGATACTAGATTTGGAAATCTTTACAATAATGATTACTAGATTTCGTGAGATTCTGTGCAGAATTTTGACGGCTAAGGAATGATTACAAAATCTTAGTAATGATTACAAAATCTCACATTTTTCAAGGCAGATAATTTTGATTTAACAATTTAAATAAGATAAAATTTAACTTTTCCGGATAAAATTATCAGAGGTATTGCAGACAGTACAGCTGAACATACTCAAAGAAATCCTTGGACGATATTGAAACCATATATTGCATGCAGTTATCCTAAAATGCTGAATCTTAGAAATAAATCAATATTCTATCAAAATAAAATAATTTAGCCTCTATCTAATTATTCCGATACTAAAGAACCAGAATAAGCAAGTAAGTACGTTTCAAGGGTCGCTAGCTAAATCAGGAGAATCGGGCGTTACAAAACTACTCCTCTTAGAAAAATTTCGTCCTCAAAATTTCTAACCTGAGTTGAATAGATGCGGATAAGCACTCTTCATGTCAGTCTCTCTTTCCCACGTGGCATCTTCCACATCATCAAAATTCCAATGCACCTTTACTAAAGGGATTTCCTTATTCCTGAGCTGCTTGACCTTTCGATCACTGATCCAAAAAGGTCTAACCTTAAAGGTTAGGTTTTCTTTCAAAGAAATCTGGTCAGGTACTACCACATGTGAGGGATCAGGAATGTATTTACGAAGTTGGGAGACATGAAAGACATTGTGAAGATTGGATAACTTTATAGGTAAGGCAATTTGATAAGCTGATTTTCCAATCCTCTTCAATATTTGGTAGGGACCAATGAATTTAGGGTGGAGTTTTCGAGACTTTAAAGCTCTACCTATTCCAGTGACAGGGTTCACTCTCAAGAATACGTGGTCTCCTTCCTCAAATTCTAAGGGTCTCCTCAGCTTATCGTGATAACTTTTCTGTCGGTCCTGAGCTGTCTTCATTTTCCTTCGGATCTCTTGGATTTTCTTAGAAGTTTCTTGAATTACATCGGGACCAACTAGTAAATGTTCTCCTGTCTCAAACCAATATAGAGGCGTTCTGCATCGACGTCCATACAGTGCTTCGTAAGGTGCCATGCCGATGCTTGAGTGAAAGCTATTGTTATACGTGAATTCAATCAGAGGGAGATGTTGTTCCCATTGACCTCATTGTTCCAGTACACAGGCTCTCAAAAGATCTTCCAAAGTCTGGATAGTTCTTTCTGATTGTCCGTCAGTCTGAGGATGGTATGCAGAGCTAAGCTTCAATTTCGTTCCGAGAGCTTGATGAAGGCTCTGCCAAAATCTTGAAGTGAAGCGGGGGTCTTTGTTCGACACTATACTTTCTGGTATTCCATGGAGTCGTACAACCTCCTTGATATAAATTTGAGTCAATCGTTCTAGAGAATGCTTCATGTTTACAGGCAGGAAATGGGCTGATTTGGTGAGACGGTCGACTATGACCCAGATAGCATCATTCCCATTTCTGGTTCTTGGGAATCCAGAAACAAAATCCATAGCAATGTCGCTCCATTTCCACTCCGGAATGCTCAATGGTTGGAGTTGTCCCGCTGGTTTATGATGTTCCACCTTTACTTTTTGGCACGTTAGGCACGAGGCAACATATTCCGCTACTGCTCTCTTCATTCTGGGCCACTAGAAACTCTTCTTCAAGTCTTGATACATCTTCGTGGATCCGGGATGAATACTCAGAGAGCTTTTGTGAGCTTCCTCTAAGATCATTCTTCTTAAATCTTCCTTGTCAGGAACACAAATTCGCTCTTTGTACCTAATCAATCTTTCCTCATCTTGGTAAATATGGGATTTTTTTCCTTTCTTCCTTGCTTCGAGTCTTTCTAGTAGATACTTGTCATCTCCTTGAGCCGATCTTAATTGTTCCAAGAACTCATTAGTGATCTTGAGATTTCCCAATATTACGCTAGAAGGAGTAAATTGAGTTGCCAAGTTCAAATCCCTAAACGATTCTAGCATTTCCAGCTCTTTAATCATCAAAGTTGACACATGTAGTGACTTACGACTTAGAGCATCCGCTACAACGTTCGCTTTGCCAGGGTGATATCGCAACTCAAAGTTGTAATCCTTAAGAAACTCCATCCATCTCCTTTGGCGCATGTTCAGTTCTTTCTGGTCAAACAGATACTTCAGACTCTTATGGTCACTGAACACCTCAAATTTTGCTCCATACAAGTAATGTCGCCATATCTTGAGTGCAAAAACTACGGCTGCTAACTCAAGATCATGGGTTGGGTAGTTTTTCTCGTGTGGTCTTAATTGTCGAGAAGCATAGGCCACAACCTTCTTATTTTGCATCAACACGCACCCAAGTCCTTGGTACGAAGCATCAGAGTATACATCAAACTTTTGTTGTGGATCAGGAAGTACCAAGATAGGTGCAGAGGTCAAACGAGTCTTTAATTCTTGAAAACTATCTTCACATTTGCTGTCCCATTGAAAAGGTTGGTCCTTGCGAGTCAATCGAGTCATAGGTGTAGCTATCTTGGAAAATCCTTCGATGAAACGCCAATAGTATCCAGCAAGTCCTAAGAAACTCTTGATCTCCGTCACTGACTTAGGCGGTTCCCACTTCAATACGGCTTCTACTTTTGATGGATCTACCGCAATTCCTTCCTTCAAAATTACATGTCCTAAAAATTGAACTTCTTTCAGCCAAAACTCACATTTAGAAAGTTTCGCATAGAGCTGTTTTTCACGTAATATTCCAAGAACAATCATTAGATGTTCTGAGTGCTCTTCGGGAGTGCGAGAATATACCAGAATATCGTCGATAAAAACCACCACAAATTGGTCCAAGAAGGGATGAAAAACTCGATTCATATAGTCCATGAATACCGCAGGTACGTTTGTCACTCCAAAAGGCATCACTTGATACCCGTAGTGTCCATACCGAGTCCTGAAAGCTGTCTTCGGAATGTCTTCTTCTTTGACTCGAATTTGATGATAACCTGACCTCAAGTCTATTTTGGAGAACACTGCGGCTCCTTTTAATTGATCCATGAGGTCATCGATTCGTGGTAGCGGGTATCTGTTCTTAATGGTGACCTTATTCAATTGGCGATAATCAACGTACAATCTCATGCTTCCATCCTTTTTCTTCACAAGTAAGACTGGGGCTCCCCAGGGTGAAACACTAGGTCTAACTAGTTGCTTAGCGAGTAATTCTTCCAATTGATTCTTCAGTTCTGACAATTCCGCAGGTGCCATTCTATAAGGTGCAATAGATATGGTATCAGTGCCAGGCATTAAATCTATGGAAAACTCGGTCTCTCTAACTGGGAGTAAGCCAGGAATATCATCAGGAAATACTTCAGGGAATTCACAAACCACTGGAATATTTTCCAACTTCTCTTCTCCTTTGGCTCCAACAGTGGCCAAAATAACATAGGCTTGAGCTGGTTCTACCAAGACGCCTACCTGGTTTATAGTACGAGACTCTGGATGACTCAATTCAGTATGTTTGGGAAGATCAAAAACTAAGGTCTTCTCTTGACAATCTAAAAGGACATGATTGGCAGAAAGCCAATCCATTCCCAAGATAACATCCAGGTCGGAAAGAGGCAAGCATATCAAATTAACAAGAAAGCTTTTGCCCTCTATTTGAATTGGACAATGTAAGCAAACATGGGATGCGGTTACGGGATTATTAGTAGGGGTAGAAACAACAATATCACATTTCATGATAAGAACAGGTAATTTCAATCGCCTCACACAAGATTCAGAGATAAAGGAATGTGTGGCGCCTGAATCAAACAACACATTAAGGGATGTCCCGTTTAGAATGCATGTACCTTGGATTAGGTTTTCAGATTGAGCAGCTTCAGCACCACTCATTGTAAATACTCTTCCTCTTGTACTAGGTCTTCCTACCGATGTTCGAGATACGTTGATGGGGTTTTGACTTCTCACCTCACTTTGATTATTGGGATTCCTTTGGCCTTGACTTGGGTTCCTCCGGTTTGTTCCCACAGAGATAGTGTCATTGCTGCGGGTAGGTTGTCTACAGAAGCGACCAAGATGGCCCGTCCTTGACATTTAGGACAAGGGTTAGGGTGTTGACGGCATTGAGATTTGAAATGAGGACCCCCACAGTTGTAGCACATCAAGGGTGGTCGACTTACACTTCCACTACTTGACCTCTAGCTTTTTATAGGTTCACTCCAATAACTCCTCGTTGGCGTAAAATACGGCTTACGTCTCTCCTGAACTTCGTTACCTTTTGAACCGAAACTATGAGCGGGGCGATGAGGACCAGATTGCTTTAATAGTGTTTGGCAAGCTTTGGTGTCATTCTCATATATTCGACATCTGTCCACTAGGGTTGGGAAATGTTGGACTTGTTGACAGCTAATAGCTTGCTTGATATCAGGTCGAAGCTCGCTTTCAAACTTAGAACACCTAGATCGATCATCAGCTTGAGCAAAATATGGGCAGTATTTTGACAGTTCATCAAACTTAGCTGCATATTCTCCGACACTCATCTGTCCTTGAGTCAGAGTTAAAAACTCTTGCTCCCTCCTCCTACGGATGTCCTCTGGAAAATATTTTTGAGGAACCGGCGGCGAAAGATGGTCCACTCTACCATGATTCCTTCAGTCTCTAATTGTTGGCGAGTAATCCGCCACCAATATTCAGCCTCTCCTACTAGCATGAAAGCTGCATAGGTTACCTTTTCCTCCTCGGTGCAAACCATTGCCTCATATATTTTCTCCAATTCTTCTATCCAAAGTTGAGCACCATCAGGGTTAAACACGCCTCGGAACTGCGAGGGTTTATTCTTGCAAAATTCAGACAATCCACGATTCAGAACTGGTTCATTCTGCCTTTCTAAGATATCTACTACTCTCCCCAATAAAGTTTCCATGACATCATCCCTAACTCTCCTAGCCATAACTTTCTGAAATACAAGTAAGCGCGTTATTTCTAAAGAATCGTTACTATTATAGCAGAGTCACAACATACTACCACACAAGTCAGAAGGACTTTCAAACAATTCAAAGATTCACACATAAGTTAGGCAGTTAGGCCATGCCCAAGGCCTTAATAGACCGAACTGCTCTGATACCACTTAATTGTGACGCCTAAAAATAGCAAGATTTTTTTTTTTTTTTGCACGAACATAAGCTCTCTCTTCATAGAGAGTTTTAATCACACAATTAATTGTTCTTTTTTCTTGATTTCTGAATGTTACAACTCTTGCAAATTCTTATAGCTCAACTAGTTATTGTTCTGTGAATTGATAATTGAATTCCTAATTCCCTGTGGAGACGATACTTGGATCTTAAATTTACTCATTACTTGCTACAATTTCTAGTGCACTTGCTAGTGTTTGGAAATTGTAACAACAGTTGCCATCAATACCTCTAATGAGACTATGTATTATATGGATCCTCTACGCAAGCAACTGAAGACCAAAAAACATATGCAGAACCTGTTTAATAAGTAAGCACACATTTATGTCAAATAACTATGATTAATGTTAAGTCCTTCAAATGTATCTAACTTTTATCATGCACCGTTGTTAGTGCTCTTGTCACGTATCGAGTAGAGGAAAGTGTAGCCCTCTAGGACAAAGATGCATCAAACAAGATGGGTCACTGTAACGCCCCGAATTTTGTAATAGTAATTATTGATAATTATATAAATCTAAATGTATATTCATGTGTGTATTTTTAGATATATGTTGTGAATATGTATGTGTATATATATGTGTGTATGCATGGCTGGTTAGGCTAAAATAGGCTGAGTGCCTAAATGCAGAGCATAACACTAGGTTGTTCTCGCTGCAGCGAGAGAGCCCTGGGAGGAAGAACCAGAACTGTCGCCTTCTCGCTGAAGCGAGAGACGTTTTGCTATAGCGATAGAGCGACAGTTTAGGGTGCAGTCTCGCTGTAGTGAGATTCTACAGAAACTAGAGTGCAGTTTTCTCTTGTTTTTTTTCTGTAGCGAAAGGGCGTGTCACTGCAGCGAGATAATATCTCACTGTAGCGAGAGTGTCGCGACCAGAAAAGGATTTAAAGGGGGTTAGGGTTCGGTGAGAGTTATTTCTCCCTCTCCCTTTGATCCTCTTGTGCCCAAAGCCCTTTCCACTGATTAAATTGCCTCCAAAGCTATTCAGGAGCTTGATTGAAGGTTGAATCCGTGTGGCAACGCTTGGAGGTGAGTTTTAATGGTTAGAGTTTCAGTTTTACATCCCCTTTCTCTATTTTCGTGGTTTCCCTGGGTTCTCATGGAGTTTCTCCATGTGTTTAGGATGAAATCCGTGAGGGGGAGTACTTTTTGGTGGATTTAGCGTGTGGGACGTCAATTCGAGGTAACAGGGGACTCTACCCTACTCTTTGTATGCGATTTACCGTTATTTTGTTGAATATTGTGATGTGGCTGACTAGAGGATAGGAAATTACTGTGAAATATGATGTGGGCCATGTGCCGTGATATATGAATATTATGTGTATGGATGAGAGAATATGTGGTTGATGGAATTTTGCTATGTATTGCGGTGTATGAACAAATGTGGGCCCGAGGGCCGTGTAATATAGATAAATGTTGGCTATGTGCTGTGTAATGTGAAATGAATGTGGGCTATGTGCCGTGTGTAAGCATGATTATTGCATGCGTGAATGGAATATGTGTGAATGGGCGTGTTAGCGCCGTTGTAATGTGTTGTGAATGGTTCAGCGATACACTGGGGGTGTGGGAGATGAGGACGATAGAAATACCTTGGGGAAGAGGGAGTGGTGGTGACACCGACTGTAGAATGGGTGCACCACGGGCCACACACTCTCTTCCTGACTAGACCTCTGGCCATTACCTTTGCTGAGTGACCCGTGACTGCCCGCGTGGTATCCCTTAGGCAGGGGTAACCGACGACCATTCATGGTGTAAATCTATGATCACAGTGCTCCAGTGAATGTGGCTGGCGTGCATATACATTGGGTTTATGAATTATACTTATGGATGTGAAATGCTGCTTGTGTTTGTGCTTGGTTAATGTATTGGAAATATTCTGGAGGTGAGATTCTACGTTTATTGTGTGTTTTTGGGGTAGTGTAGAGTACTAACCTTTACTTCATTTTTCAGGTAATCAAGACGATCAGCATCGGGCTCAGTGAAGGGGTGGATGGAACTGCTATAAGACTTAGAATATTATTTTGGAAAACTGTTGTATTAGAATAAGTCCTGTAGCAACTATTTGATATAATTCGTAACCCCTTTCTTTATTAGAAATGGTTGATGAAACTTGAATTAAAATAGAAATTTTATTATTTCAAAAATTTGTGAAATTTCTTATTTATTGGAAAATTAATTTTAAGGTGTTACAGTCACTGTACAGGTATCACTTGTGACGCCTAAAAATAGCATGATTTTTTTTTTTGCACGAACATAAGCTCTCTCTTCATAGAGAGTTTTATCACACAATTAATATTTCGTATTCCACAGACAATCATCATTTCACTTCCCAATTTCAACCACACAGTGGGATAAAGATAAACATAACTCATGACATAAAGGTACCTCAAGGTATTTAAACAGCAGTTTGGCAGAAATAGTAAAATATTCAGATAGTGTCGAGAGCAACAAACATTAATCCAATCCATCAAACAGAATAGCAACAAAAGTAAACCAAACGCCCTAAGAGCAGTCCCACTAGGACAAAAAGAAACAGCAAACATCACTCATAAGGTGAATAATCCTCAATGAGATCAGACTCCTCAGAAGATGTCGAGGAAGCAGAGCTAGAAGAAGCAGCGTCCTCAGTGTCCTTTTCAATCCATCCAGCAGTGTGAGATGGCGAATGGTCTGTAGTGAAGGGCAAATAGGTGTTTGGGTAGGTAGGGAGCATGTGGGGCAGTACATCATCATTCCTCACTGAGGGTTCTGCCATATGAACATCTCTCTCAGTGGCCACAGGGGGTGGAGTAGGATCCTCAGTAGGGAATGGTACAGGTGCAGGTACTGGTCTAGAACTGGGAGTACAGGGATCAACAGACATGGGAGAAGGAGTAGCTGCAAGGGCAGGATAAGGTAGGTGAGAATCTCCAGGTGGGGTGGAGAAAACAAGCTCGATGGGGGTGTCAACCATAAAGTGGGTGGTCCATGAGTGTCCGACATCCTGTCCATGAATCACTCGTGCCATTCCATGGAAGATGCTTTGCTGTGCTGCCGCGTCGAACACCCAAATGTCCTCCTCAGATGGCAGGATCCATACCTTCACTCGGAAGCTGGTCATCTGTGTAAGGCATATACAAAAGTACAACAACACACACAAATAGGGGTGAGTTCTCCAAACACAAACAAACATCCAATAGCCATACCCCAAGGAAGGTGGCTTTTCACATCATTATCCAATCTCAAAACAAACATCGATACAATATAAGTCGGTTCATACTTCTCATTGAAAATTCCTAGGTTCATCAAACAAATAATGCACATGATGCATGAATGCAAATTTCTTTCCTCGCTATCCATCCCTCGAATTTCCGTTTTAATGCATATGGTATGCATGGGGATCCCTTACTCTACTGCCAGCGATTTGCCTAGCATTTAGTGTAGAGTTAACAATTTCATATCCAAGTCGTGTGGCGATCGGAGGACTCTATTCCCTGCATCACAATTGCACAGAAAAGAATTTGTATCATTATTCAAAAACACCCAAACTGCTGCTGGCCCCAAACTAGGTCTCTTCGGGAATGGACCTCAACGACCCAAGGATATGGAGTTCTTGTCGGGCTTGGCTAAGGCTTGCAAGTAGGGTCACGACCTGGCCACAGAGAGCTCTGCTGCGCCATCTAGGTCGACTGTTCCCCCTTTCACCACCCCCGTAGGTCTACTCGGGACCGAACCTCCAATACCTACTACAGCTGTGCCTCTGTTATGCCATCAAGTCGTTCCAAAGAAATGTTATGATGCATGGAACATGATTTTCTTTTCCTTCCCCAATGTTTTCTCAATCTTGGATCACATGGAATTCAAGCACAGAATCAAAGCCCTCACAAGGCCTGCTCAATCATTATTCACTTTCTCATCCAGCATAAATTTGTTAAACAACAAGGTTTAGGAATTACATACAAGCTTTCAATCCCATCAATACACATCCACTATTTCTCAACACATAAATTTCAGTAATTTTGACATAACCCACTCAGATTTTCCTCATCCAATTCCATTACAATAATTTACTATATTACCATTGCTCATTTTATCATTTCCCTCGCTATTAACTATACTACTTCCTATTTAGATATAACGTGTTTCCATCTTCCTTTTTCCCTCTGGTTTTTCCATTTAGTTATTTTCTAATTACTTGTATTGATTCCCGATTACCTATTCAATTCAAGGTTACTTAGTTTAGTTCTAGCTCTCTTTAGGTTTATTAGTATTAAGTCCTCACGCGATGGGTTCTATTAAGTAGTTAATAGTGAGATCTTTCCAAAAATGACTTTTATCAATTAACTTCTATGTCCAAACCCTTAATTACCATCTCCATACCTTTAATTACTACCTTTTTAGTTTGGGTAAACTTTCCATCAAAAAGGGCTGCACTTGACTCTCTTTCTTTTTTTTTTCCTTTATTCCTTATATGGTGCAATGAACATGATGCATGATTCATCTTAATACTCACGGATCCAGGTGCAAACAGCAAACACACCCTATTATTATACAATCCTTATCACCCATAATTCATCAAAATTAACACAATTTCAAGCACAACTTTTAGGATTCCTTATCATCAAAACCGAGAGTGAATAGTTTTCACTTTCTTGTCCACCACAAATTCCCAAAGCACCACATGCATGAAACTTTTAAACCAAGTGGAAACATACATCACAATCAATTCAATCATCCATCATCCAAACTAGCAAGCAACCATTTTCATGCAAATCACACAAA